ACATAGCCTCTAACTCTGTGTCATCAACCCAGAATCTGCAGCGAGCATGAAGTCACTCTCTCATCACTGGCCACAGTGCATGATACTTGCGTTTTTGTAGTGTGGGGATCCACTGAGCTAGAGAGGGAGAGTCCAGGGAATACCACCGTTCCTTTAAGTGGGATGGTAGCCTTGGTTCATGGTGTGAATGTCCACAGTAGCAGCAGGGTTGAGGGTGAGCTGGGCTGCGTATGAATGGTCCACTGCAAGATTGTCCAACAGGGCTGAAGCCAGAGTTTGAGTCCTTGGGTTGAGAATCAGCTCTACAAGAGGGAACAGCCACACAGGAACGGTCAGTGTCTGTATCCAACTCAGTACTGAGACGCGGACGGGGCTTGGCCTGCCTATGGCGGTGTGAGGACGCTAAATCTTTGAGCTCCGCTGCCTTCTGAGCATGGTGCAGTTGATCGTGACTCCACTTACCTTATCCGATGTCAAAAAAGGGCAAATCCTCTGGAAGTGGCACCGGGAGGAACCCCAGAGACCTCCATCACTTCTTCTCATCCCTATCCGTCTCCAAGCGCTCCGCCACGGCAAACCGCATGGCGCCATTCGAGCCATCACGGCCTGCAGCAACGCCTATGCCTCGGGACTTGCCGGAATCTCCCCCGCCACCTAGCCTGAACGGCCGCGTGACAACGCCGGAAGACACCACCGTGACTCATGCAACCGCCTACTGCACCCAGGGGACGACAACATTACGATGTCGTCCAGTACCGAGCTGCTACTCTCTGCAGGTGAGATGTCATCCCTCCTGCTTTCACTCCCGACCAAGCAAGACATGTCGGAGATGGTCTCCAAAATGGAGGCGCCCCTCAAAGGGGACATAGCGGGCATCACGACCACGGTCTCCCGACTCGAGGACCAGGTCACCTCACTACACATAGAGCCTGCACCAAGAAACCTGACTCACCTCCATGGCGCTGGCACATGACAACCTGGAGAACCGCACCCACCGCAACAATGTGAAGTTGCGTGACATACCTTTAACGACTACATCTACAGACCTCAGAACATCGGTGACCCAGATTCTCAACATGACCTTGGACAAACCGCCTGACTCACCGCTGGATCGGGTGCATCGGGTGGAAGGCCCACATAATGATCGGGACGTCCGCCCAAGAGACGTTCTTTGCTGTGTACATTACTACACGGTGAAGGAGGCCATTATTCAACAAGCCTGGCGTAAGGGCCCGATCCCCTTCAATGGAGCAGATGTTACACTTCTTCCTGACCTGTCAAGGCGCACGCTGCAAATGAGCCGGACACTCCAGCCACTATTTGCTGAAATCTGGAGAGCTTTACTCCTGGGGATACCCATTCTGCCTGAGCATCCGCAAGGACGGGGAGACATTCATACTGTGACACCCGGATCAGCTACCGGCCCTGTTCTCATTCTTGGATGTCGCTCCTGTGGAGATTCCTGATTGGATCCAGCTGGATTTACCGGACGCGGCTCACCCCATGCCCCAATGCAGCCGTCGGCGGGCCGTATCCAACTCCAGACACCAACCCCAGGTGCCGGTACCTCCCACTGTGGATGTAGCTCCCCGAGGTGACAGATGGGACCCCACTTCCAGAGAAATGTGAAAACTCAGCATCAACGACCTTTCACCCATTACTGGACTCTGAGGAACCGACTTTTCTGACGCTTGCTTGCCTCCTTTATACGTGATGGTCCACCATCTTTACCCAGACCCCAGTAAACTGACATTGAGTGCTGTTGCACTCTGAGCCATTCTGCCCCTGGGTGATGTATACCTACAGGCCTTAATGATTCTACACTGTTGGGGTCTCACCGCCTTCCACGTGGGATGTGTGGGGGGCTAGGCTTCTAGTTGGTCTGTCCACCCATCCACCCGTTTGTACGCGGATATGGGGGCCCTCACGCCACTGTGGTGGTGCTGGGACCCCCAAGGTTCCTATTTATGATGCTTCACTTACTGTCTACACCGGTTATTTTTTGGTATTTTATTTTGTTCCTCATTTAATACATTATCGGATGGCACGGTTGGCAGCAGCTCACTGTTTGCATACTAATCAAAGTTATCTCTGTTATACTACTTGGTTATATCTTCACACACTGTTTTAGCCTACCTACTATCCCCCAATAGGATAGGGACCACCTCTGTCTCCGAGCACGCTTAGTGGCAGCGGTGATCCACTTGGCTGGTGATCCAGCCCGCTTAGATTTAGTAGACTCCACCCCTACCCTCTACGCCTCCGGTAGGCACTCCTATGTCCCCTTCCCTCTCCCCACTGCTTCTCCTACCCCACCTTTACATCTTCCCATACACCTCCTACCCCCCCTTGCCCCCCATTCCAGTCATGGCCACTCTCAAAGTCTTCTCCTACCCCACCTTTACATCTTCCCTCCACTGCTATCCCATGTACGGGCAGATTTGGAGGCGTGGACCAAAAACACCTTCTGCTGGATGGGGCGCTGCAATATCCTGAAACAATCCATACTTCCACGCCTGCTCTACTCCATTCAGGCCCTACCGATACACATACCCCCATCCTTCTTCCGCGCTGTCCGCTCACTCTTCACAGAATTTGTCTGGTTGCGGAAAGCGGCTCGATTGAACTACGACATACTACGGGGTCCCACACAAATGGGCGGGATTTCCCTGCCAGATGTGTACCAGTATTATATTGCGGCACATCTGACGCGGGTAGTCAACTGGTGCTGTAACTCCACAACCAAACTCTGGGTTATCCTGGAACAGACGGCTGCTGAGGCCCCACTAGCTAAACTCCCCTGGTGCTCTGCACCACTGTCCCCTCCACTTCGCCTGCATCCTACCGTCAACCCCACCCTGAAAATAGCACGGGCAACCTTTGCTAAGGGTCTACTCTCCTCTACTCTTTCACCCCTCCTCCCTATTCTTGACAACCCTGCGTTTCCCCCGGGCATTGGCTCCCACACCTACCCTGAACTAAGAGGACTGGGCATCCAGAAAGCCATGCACCTCGTGTTGGCCTCAACATGGCCTTCCGCCAATGACCTTCACACCCATGCAAAATACGGCCCTCTCAACTTTTGGTCCACTATGCGACTGACCACCCCCCCCCCCGTACGTAATACCAATAGGCCACTTACCCCTTTCGAGCAGACCTGTACTGTACTCAAACAAGCTTTCCTCCACATACTCGTTCGTTCTGCTACAAACTACTGACCCAACTGCCAGACCCCCACCCTTGTGGTTCCTTTCGAGATGGGAGGAGGACCTCCAGATCAATATCACCCCGGAGGCCGTGACTACGTTGCTCACCCTTTCATACCGCTCCTCTATCAGCAACAGATACCAGGAGTCGGGTTACACGATTGTAACTAGATGCTACCGCACTCCACAGACCTGCCCGACTCGTCTGACCTCTGTTGGCGATGCCAGCAACCGTCCGTGGGTATGCTACATATCTTCTGGACTTGCCCGGCCCTCGGGCAGTTCTGGGGCCAGGTATGTGCCCGTACTCAGAAATTTACTGACACCCGGGTGCCCCGAGACCCTGCCTTCCTCCTCCTGCACCATAACAAATCCCATACATGGCTCCCCTGGATGGAGTACATTCGGTCCCCTGAATTCCTCAATCTCAAAAGGACTGCTGAGACCTGATGTGGATTGAGGTGATCAATCCTTACCCCTTACTGCTTCTTCTCCCCCTCTTTCTCCCCCCTCCCTCAATCTTCATCCACTACCATCGCCGACCGGTCCTGGCCCTCTCTGCCTACCCTCTTATAGAAATTTATAGAAATAATACTGAGACGCCGATCGTTTCACTACCTAGTCCTTAAGTGGACTGCAGGTGAGGAGCAGGACGACGCCCCCGGAGGGGGCGATGCCGAGCGCAGCCCTGTGGGCGTGGATGGACGGCATGATGTCGGAGGAATGGGCGGAGCCTTATGCCCCTTCGGAAATACGGGCGGACCCGCATATTACAGATATTAGGTGGCATTACATGGGGGAGCTAGCCCCCCACATGCGATTTTCTGGTAAAATTTAATTCAGGCTGATACACAATTGATAGATACAGTGATTTGGTTATTAGGCCGAGCATGCACATGGTGGTATTACATAAGCCACCTCCCCCGGAGCATGCACAGGGTGGTAAAAAAGGAATAATCATAATACCAAATATTCATAATATCTCTGTAATTATATGAGATCTAACATTGAAACCACTTATTCTTACCGGATCTAACGAAGGCCTATTAGCCTGAATGACATTTTACCAGGATAATTGCATGTGGGGGGCTAGCCCCCCCTTATGTAATACCAAATATTCATAATGTCTCTGTAATTTTATGAGATCTAACGTTGAAACCACTTGATCTTACCGGATCTAACGAATGCCTATCAGCGTGAATGGAATTTTACCAGAAAATTGCATGTGGGGGTGCTAGCTCCCCCATATAATGCCACCTAATATCTGTGTTATGTGAAATATCTTGGTAATTATATGAGATCTAACGTTAAAGCCACTTGATCTTACCGGATCTAACGAAGGCCTATTAGCCTGAATGGAATGTTACCAGAAAATTGCATGTGGGGGGGCTATTCCCCCCCTCATTAATTACTTAATAAATCTGTAATTATGTGAGATCTAACAAAACAACTAGTTGATCATACCGGATCTAACAAATAGCTTCCAAAATAGCTGTTTGGTCATTTTTTTGATAAGGGGGGCTGATGACGGGTTAACCCCCCCAGCAAAAAACTGTTAATATCTCTATTTCTGTGTGAGATCTAACGCAAACAGAGATCTAACGTGATCTAACAAAGATCTAACCAACTGCATATGTTTTGTTCAAAAAATTTGATATGGGGGGGGCTAACACGGCTGAGGTCACTTTTAGTGGTCATTCATAAAAATACATCAGCTTTTTCAAATGCATTGGACGATTTTGTAACAAATACATAATAGTTAAAACGTTTTTGAAGACGACACAAACAACTTACATCCAAACATTCCCGCAGATCTCTCACATATGTCTTTTCCGTTTGAATCAGCTCAGCCATGATATACCTTAAAAAACAAATACATACATAAACATTATATTATACAGAACCTCTCTATTTATGTGCCTGCATTGTCTTAGTAATATTATCTTAGTCACATTTAAAGACATATCCTGTATCATCTTAATGAACAAGTCCGAAAAAAACTTATTGACACTTGCAGTGGGGCTACCCCCGCA